TAGTGGCCATCAAAGAAATACTCAAAATCGAATGTTGACAAAACAAAATGTAAAAGAAAATCAAAAACATTTAGTTTTGATTTGCACCGCAAGTCTCAACAATTTATGGTACCACCCTCACCTTTTTTCATAGTGCATTAAGTCAAAAATAGCTTTTATAATTATACAATTCGACATAGACTTATCATATGATTTCAAATCCATTCTACCTTTTTTTTCGTGTGTAAATATCGTCTCGATAAAGATTGGAGTAATTTTGTTTTGTTTTCATGAATAGTATTAGCTTTAGATAAAAAGAGTATCCTTCTAGAATTTGATATATCAATATATATCTGTTAACTTATACATTACTGGACTCTGCAAAAATGTCGTTTTCGTTTTATTTATAGTTTCTGGTTACATATGTGGTCAAAGTCTAATGTTTATACAGTTTTGGGAAACAATTGTAGACCATTATTAATACAAGTTTGAAAAAAAAGGAAAAAAAAGAGATGAGACAAAAAGTAATGCAGGAGGATCATTCTAATTAAATTGTAGCTAGAAATTAGGAGTTTTAATCTCTAATTAAACAATAAACAGGAAAAGGATACATAATTTGATCTCCACACATATATAGAAACAAATTTAAAAGCTCATAATTAGCAACAAAACAGCCGAAAGAAATGATTAAAATTGGATAATAATCATGATAAATATATGCATGTGGAAGATGGATGGTGATGGTGCTGGGTAAAGTGTAACTATCGCGTGCCAAAAATAGTGGCCTAGGCCCACTACTCCACAGACCCAACCTTCTAAGCTATTTTTATTATTTATTTTCTTGGTTTTTGTTTGTGTTAATTTTTTAAAAATTGTAAATATTTATCTTTTCATTTATTAGAAAAAAGTAAGTAGAGGGATATAAGAAAAAGCCTGCCATATCTTACAATGTCACAGCTTTATCATGTGTGTTGTTACATGAAAAAAAAAGAAGTTATAAAACCCATAACAATATTAAATTCGTTTTTGCTATAATAATAAATTGTTCTGAACAAATTTAGGTTTAAAAATTAAAATCAATAAAATGGACGGTTTTGTAATGGTTTTAATGGACTCTAGTGTTATATGCAAGTTGGCCATTATTTTCAGGATTCAAAATTAGGCAAAGACATTTTGAACAAAAAAATTGAAAGCATCATTTAATTTTATTCGATGCAAAACAAAAAATAATTATACTACTTTTAACTATGTTCACCTACTGTAGAAAATTGTCACTATACTCGAATG